CGGCCCCGCCCCGCGCCAGCGTCGGCCGCAGGACTCTGCCGAGAGGAGAGGCGGGGACCGCGGGGCTGGCCTGCTGCGGCTTAGCCCGGGTCCAGAGGGAGGCCCTTCTCCCGGGAGCGGCTAGAGTGACCCCCGTGGCGCGTCCCCGCACAGCACACAACTTTCCTTGCCCCGCTCCCAGTGGCTGCTAATAGAGCATGTACGGGTGTTGGGGGCGGTCATCCGGGAGGTTCTAGGGCGTTAAAGTGACCCCAGTACGGCAGCGGTGGAAGCCTAGGGACGTGGTTCAGTCACAGAGCACTGCGGAGATGGAGGGTCCCTGCACACTGACCAGGGTCGGCCTGGGCTCGCTGTCTAGCAGAAGCGTCTTTGGGGAGTCCAGGCAGGTTCTGTGCAGTGTTTAATTTTACTACAGGCCTTTACACCTACAGATTTGGCATCTGAGGCCGTCTTGGGATAATGCCGGAGGCTCTCAGGGGACAGGACTGTTTTAAGAGATGCCTGTGTCGTTTAGTCGTTTTTGGTTTTGACTCAGGGTTTCTTTATAGCTCAGGGTGCTTCACCACCTGAGGCTGGGAATTCAGGGGCGCCGCCAGCTCTCGCTCGTTGTAAAAGCAAATGCTGCCCCCACTTTTTGATGAATTCAGATTTTCCAGGGTCCTTTTACAGTAGGCACAGCAATGAAAGTGGTCTCGAGCGTCTGCATCCCATTAGGGGCTCAGTGCAGACACGGAAGGCTCTCAGCTGCACAGAGGCAAAGCTTGTTGCACACACCTGCGTCTCCAGCACTCAGGAGACTTAGGGCAGCCTGGGCTACGTAGTGAGTCCCTGTCTTAACCCCGTTAGACACACAAACAAACACACAAAATGAAAAGCCAGATGAGGGTCACTCGGGGAAAGTGAGTTAAAGAGAAGGGTTTGTTGTGAGCCAAGAGTAGCACACGCCTGTGATTCCAGCATTCGGGAGGCAGAGGCAGGAGGATCTCTGAGTTCGAGGCCAGCCTGGTCTACAAGACAGCCAGGGCTACACAGAGAAACCTTGTCTTGAAAAAGTGAAAAAGAGAGAGAATCCATCTCTCTCCTCTCCCAACCTCCTCCAGAGCTGTTGCCCAAAGGGAGCAAAGAGGAGCAGCGGGATTATGTCTTCTATCTGGCCGTGGGCAACTACCGGCTCAAGGTGAGGTGCAGAACCCTCCCTCCCAACCTGGGCTCCCCTGAGTGCCCCGGGCAGAGCCCCGGCCCAGGCAGTTAGCCAGCAAAGGGCAGTGGGCTGGGTGCCTGGTATCCTGTAATCCCAGCACAGACTGGGGGAAGGTGAGGGTGTGGGGACCACGGTGACGTCAGGATTAGGGTGCTGCCCGAGCCTGTGGCTGTTATCTCTGCTAGCTTATCACCCCCCACAGCTGGACTGTTTGTGAACTCTACTCTGTGGGGCGGGGCTGTGGTGGAGGAGGATGAGCCTGGGCCACAGGAGGCCGCCCGGGTGGGGGCTGGGGCGTGCGCTGTCTGAGGTTCCCTGGCTGCAGGAATATGAGAAGGCTCTGAAGTACGTTCGCGGACTGCTGCAGACGGAGCCTCAGAACAACCAGGCCAAGGAGCTGGAGCGCCTCATTGACAAGGCCATGAAGAAAGGTGACAGGCCCCCCGCCCTCCAGACTCGGGGCCCGGGCCCTCCTGTGCTGGGTGGTGTGGCCAGGCCGGGGGCAGGCCTGAGTGTGCGCCCTTTCCCTCCAGATGGACTAGTGGGCATGGCCATTGTTGGCGGCATGGCCCTGGGTGTGGCGGGCCTGGCTGGACTCATTGGACTGGCGGTCTCCAAGTCCAAATCCTGAAGGCGCAGCTTCGCCTGCTGTCCACCCCGGTACCTGGAGCCTGGGACACTGGAAGACAGACGGCCCTGCCCGTCCTCCCGTTGCCTTCCCTCTTCCGCACCCTCCGTCCACCTCCCCAGTGTCCACTGCCCTCTGCCTCCCGTTCCCTGTCTCCTGACACCTGTTGTCTAGGTCTTGCTTCGCATTGAGGGTCAATAAAGTCGGGCTGTGGCCTGGGAAGCTGTGTGTGGGTCTGTGGAGAAGCAGGGTCACCGGGTGCACTGCCCCCCCCCCTCCCCGTGGCACCGCAGCCACACCCTTCCTTCCCCCAAGCTACTGTGCAGGAGCCGGGAGCAGCTCGGAGGACAGCCCCGGGAGAGGGGCGGACGGTGCGGGAGGGGATTTATGGCCTTGGTCTCTGACCCACCCAGCTGCCGGAGTTTTCCACTGCAGGCCCCGGGCTTCCTCCCAAACCTCCGCCCTTCCCTCCCTTTGTCCTCCTGCCCCCTCCCCTTCCTCCAGCCAGGCTTTCTCCTGGGGGACAGGGACGACGTGGGGTGGGAGGAAGCTGTGGGGTTATGGCAGGGTTGTGGGGTTCTTGGGCACAGCCTGAGGGGTGGGAGGCCGAGCCTTCCTGGCTCCCCCCAAGCCCCCTGTGCCAGGCTCTGCGTGGGCCTGTTTGGCTTCCCCGCATACTTGTCATTCCACGGCCCTGGCAGGCTTGCTGGGGGCCGGAGGAGGCACCTGAGGGGGCCTTGGTGGAGCCTGAGGAAGAGGGGGTGTGAGGACCACCGAGGGCAGAGCGGTCTCATCTCACGGAGCCAGTGCCAGCTTGCCAGGCGAGAGCAGGAAACAGCCAGGAGGAAGCGGACAGGTGCTTAGCTGGGGATGGGCGAGGACCACAGGCTTCCACTTACCGGAATTAATTAATGGGGCTGGGGCTAGTGCCCACTACTCGGAGAGGTAGATTAACCGGAGCCATGCCCTCGGCCTGTGATCCAGCCCTGACCCTGGGTCCCTGGCCCCTTGGCATCAGGATCAAACTCAATGCCGAAGGGTCAAAGGTCAGCTCTGGGAGGGGCGGTTGGCGGCCTCACCTCAGCGCCGAGGCAACCGTTGGGCTGTAGGAGTGTGCCCAGAGCTGTGATCTGCCGCCCAACTCCCATTACAACCTCAAAAGCCAATAATGTTGTGTCAACAAGGCTGAGCGCCAGGACGGCAAGCCAGGCTTTCACAGCTCGGGGTCTAGTGGGGCCGGGTTGGCTGGGCTCCAGAGCTCCGGCACCCTAACCCACCGCCACGTTCTAGGAGGTCTCAGGGTCCCACCCCGGGGCCCTCAGTCTTGGGTGCTCTCTGCTCTCTTCAGCGGCGGCTGCTGGGCCTGTTGGAGTTGTCTTCTCTCTTGACGCTTTCTCCCGTTACCTAGAACTCAACTCGCCCTGATCTCCTCCCCTGGCCCTGGTGACAGCTGAGTCAGGCAGGCCACTTCCCCTGGGTTCCTGATGCCTCCCCCGGGGGCTCGGTCTCCCTGAAAGCCCAGCCTCCTCCCGGGGAGGGGCCGGGGCTGGACTCTTGGCCGTTTATTCCCTTCATCACAGTCAACAGCTGCGGAGCGGGTTGCGGGCTTGGCTGGTCCTCTACCTGCCAGGAAGTGGAGCTGTGCTGTGGGGGCTGCCTGGCGAGCCTGAGGAGGACGGGCTGCTGCCGCCTCACCTCCTCGGCCTCCAGCCTCCCGCCGCCTCACCTCCTCGGCCTCCTGCCCCAGGCCCCGGGGCGCGCGCCCAGCATGTCTATGGCCGTGGAGACCCTCGGCTTCTTCTCGGCAGCGCTGGGCCTGCTGCTGCTCGGCGTGACGCTCTCGAACAGCTACTGGAGGGTGTCCACCGTCCACGGCAACGTCATCACCACCAACACCATCTTTGAGAACCTGTGGTACAGCTGTGCCACCGACTCCCTGGGCGTCTCCAACTGCTGGGAGTTCCCGTCCATGCTGGCCCTGTCCGGTAGGCCGCGGCGGGGAGCCGGGAGAGAAGGGTGGCCCCGGGGCGAGGCACGGGAGTGTGGCGCGTGTGCCCGCGGAGCTGCCACAGGCTGCCCCGCGGCCCCCAGCCGGCTCGCCGACGCCTCGGGAGGCTGCCTGGGCGGCCCGGGCCTGGGGAGCCTGCGCTCGGCCAGCTGCGCTCGGAGGCCGCCGCGTGCCAGGGCACAGTGCGCGCAGGCCGCGCCCGCGCCGGCTGCTGCTGCTTGTTCTGGGGAGGCTTGCTGGCTCGGCGGCTCCGCAGCCACGGACGGCACGAGCTGCTGTGTGAGGTGAGGTGTGGGAGGTGAGGTGAGGTGAGGTGTGTGAGGTGTGTGAGGTGAGGTGAGGTGTGTGAGGTGAGGTGAGGTGAGGTGAGGTGTGTGAGGTGAGGTGTGAGCAGTGTGTGAGATGAGGTGTGAGCAGTGTGTGAGGTGAGGTGTGAGGTGAGGTGTGTGAGGTGAGGTGTGAGCGGTGTGTGAGGTGAGGTGTGAGCAGTGTGAGGTGAGGTGAGGTGTGAGCAGTGTGTGAAGTTTTTGAGGTGAGGTGTGAGCAGTGTGTGAGGTGAGGTGTGTGAGGTGTGAGCAGTGTGTGTGAGGTGAGGTGTGAGCAGTGTGTGAGGTGAGGTGTGTGAGGTGTGAGCAGTGTGTGAGGTGAGGTGTGTGAGGTGTGAGCAGTGTGTGAGGTGAGGTGTGAGTAGTGTGAGGTGAGGTGGGGTGTGAGCAGTGTGTGAAGTTTTTGAGGTGAGGTGTGAGGTGAGGTGTGAGCAGTGTGTGAGCTGAGGTGTGTGAGGTGAGGTGTGGGCAGTGTGTAGGTGTGTGAGGCGGCCCGAGGCTGGGGATGCCCTGGATGACAGGCCTGCGCCCTCCCGGCCGTCTCCCCAGGACCCTGCCCTTCCCCGAAGACTTCGGGAGAATCCGAGCCTCTTCCAGGCCACAGACCAGAGCAGTAAGTGGCGGAGGGGCCGGCGGGCCTGGTCCGAGCCTGTGGAGTGGCCGAGGGGACCGAGGGCCGGGTCCCAGCCTGCGGAGTGGCCGAGGGGACCGAGGGCCGGGTCCCAGCCTGCGGAGTGGCCGAGGGGACCGAGGGCTGGGTCCCAGCCTGCGGCAGCCCTGGGAAGCCAGGCGAGAGCCTGTCGCCTCCAAGCCTCCGAGCGTCACCCTCTGGGTGAGCGTCAGCCTCACCCGTCGCTGCACCCTCTGTGAGCGAATGTAAACTTGGGAAGTCACCAGGCGTGTGCTGGGGTGATGGAGCATAGAGGGCCTCGGGGTCCCCAGGCCTCTGGGGTTCCTGTCCTTTCCCTTCCGTGCTCCTTTGTAAGGATTGGTTTGTGGTGACTGTGTGCACGTCTGTGTCTATGTGTGTGTGTCTGTCTGTGTGTGTGTGTGTGTGTCTGTGTCTATGTGTGTGTCTCTGTGTCTGTGTGAGTGTCTGTGTCTATGT